GGAGTGACTGTGACAAAGGAGCACAGAGTGAGCTCTCAGCCTCCCCAGCAGCTCCAGCAGCACCCCAGCAGCTCGAGCACCTGAAGTCAGGCCATGTGCAGGTCAGGTCTGTCCACCTCCRAGGCTCTCCCTCAGCCGGAGTGGTCATCAGGGCTGTGTAGTTCCTGAGCTGCAAGAGACAGCACTGGAGCCCAGGAAGCTGAAGAAAGAACAAAGGATTTCCTGGAAAGGCAGGGGCAGCCCAGGTCCAAGAGGACAGAGCCACCGCGGGTGGGGGATGCAAGTGTCGTGTGGGACGGCGGTCTACAGTGGGCTGGGTCGGGCGTCGGGGGAAACTGCCAGAGGTGCCAGGGAGGAGACTGTCCTCGCTCACGCATGGGCACTTCCTGTCACCCCTGGCCYGGGATGGGTGGGAATAGATACGGTGATCATCATGGGGCAGCGGGGGCTGGGTGCCATTACCACAAAAAAGGGGTGACACTCTGCGATTCAAAAGCCACAGCTGTCCCGAGCTCTGGCTGTCGTCTTCCTGCCTCTTGCCACTGCGCGAACCCAGTGCTCACGGTGACGCACCCACAAAGCAAGCCTGCCCCCACTGGGCCGATGCTGGGGACAGATGGTGCAGTTGTGCTGGGCGGCCACCAGGCTGCGGGGAGTCGGGGTCAAGACAGTCCATGCCCTGAGCATGGAGCCACTGAGGCACTGGGCTCACATTCAGTGACATTTTGAGCCCCTACTTGGTGTGTGGCTGCCTATCTGTGATAAGTATTCCAGAAGTAGGAGGCAGGTCAGCTCCCAGACAACTTTCAAGATTCCTTGATGAAAGGTCAAAAGTCAAGTCTCGTGCCATTTGTGTACAATGTGTCAAAACGCATCCTACTCTCATGGATAACCAATCAGGACAAATTAAAAAAACAAAGGGAAGCCCCTGTGATTTTCGTATGAATCAGAGACACGCAGGTAGCTGCAGAATTCCATCTTATTGGCTATGCAGGCTGGAGGGCTGACACATGGGAATTCTGGGAAAGGTTAATATAGAGTGCTTCATTCTCTGAGAAATCTTAGCCTTCAGAACTTAGAGCATTTTCCATTTGAAGGGGGATTTGCAGGTAGAATGAGAGAATAATTGACAAGAAAATGCATTACGAAAATTTAATAACGTGATAATCTTGGTGAAAGTAGCAGAGACTGCCAGTATTAGCCCTGCCTATATGTCTGTTTGGGGTAAAGTGACTTCTTCAAATTTCTGCTTTGTTTCTAACATATGAAAAGGAAAGGACGGGGTGCAGCTGGGTGGGAAAGTGCTCGCCTAGCRTGGGCGAGCTTCAATCCCCAGCACCGCGCACACACACACAAAAAGGTGGGGGCAACACCTGTGAGGGTCCTTCACAGCATCGGCAAGTCACTCTTGCAGTGTCCCTCATGCAGCAGGTCTTCAACCATTGTCAACTAAGTACAGACCAGGGCCCAGATGACCGAGTGCCCGTTGCATAGCAAGTCTGCATTACTCTGAAGATAGCATCGGGCTCTTTTTCATTTTTGTCTGTTCTTCGTTTGACTTCAGGAAAATCAGTGCATAGCTCAGCTTAACGCAAGCACTGGCTTGGTGGACCTCTGAGGTTGGGCAAAGCACTCTGCCCAGACGGGAACAGGGGACAACTGCCGTGGGAGGGTTTCCTGGGGGCACCTCCCTTAAGGCTGGTGCTCAGTTTGCTGTTAGMCATGTCTGTCTGCGATCTCTTTGCCGGTCATTTTCCAGTTTACAGAAAGACTTCCCAAATGAAACAGACCCACCACCTTGACTTTGGGTGTCAATGTCACTTCAACATCACTGCTGTGTTTCACRGGTTCCCCAAAGTGGGCAGTTCAGTAATAACAGCGATGTGGAAGTCTTGGGAAACTATGATCTTGGTTCCAGGAACATCAAAGCCTTTTAACCAAGCTTCATTCTTTCCCTCCCCCGACAGCAGAATTATGTAGAGATTAAAGCGAAAACAAATTCACACGAAAAGTAGAAATCTAAAATTAAATATTTAATTAGAACTCTGATTTGCTTTAAAGATAGGTGGCATTGCACAGGCTATATTACACTTTTTATAGTTTTTGACAAAAAAGATACTGTTCATTTTAACAGGCCACTTTAATATTGATACGTGTGGAATAGGACAGGAACCGGAGATCAGCTAGAGATGGTACATTTTACATTATTGGGAAAATTACAGTTTTGTATTGTAAAAACATTTATTTTTTTTAACAATTTACCTACATTAATCAAAAAATTACAGCATATTTAATAATTTTACAAATTCTTCATAAAAAATATATCTCTGTACAAAAAGGTCTTCGCACCTACTTCGTGACAGCAGCGTGTGGAGGGACRGCGGGGTGGGGTGGCGATGACGTGGGTTTTCCTGATCATAATGCCAGCTTTCTTTTCCCCCTTTTTATAAGAGCTTTTTTGTTGTTGTGTACAAAATATTTTACAGAAGAAAAAAATTATTGCAGCTAGCCTGAAGGAAGGCAAGATGTGTGAGACAAGCAGCAGTTTTAAACAGCTTTGAAGCACATGACCTTCGCAGCTCGCGGTCCCCCCTGCCCGCGGTCCTGTGGGAAGTCCTCTAGCCCTCACTGTGCAYGTGCGGCCTGACCCGGCGCCCCCGCGCCCGCGGAGACCCGGGAAGCACCGCACACACCCCAGCGGAGACTGGGCAGATTCTCACCTGAAAGTCACTCCATTTTTGTCTGTTGGTGTCGAACAACATGCTCCAAACTGGCAACCATAGGACAGTTTGATCTTGCACACAAAGGAAAATAGTGCTAATCTGATATGTGGTTTCTTGTGTGTCTGCACGTCCTATCATCAGGACTTCATGACGTCATTGACCAGCAGGCAGTCAGGGATGTGGGGACAGAGACATTGATTCAGACTCTGAAGTCAGCACTTTGCACCTCGTTTGAATGAGCCAAACTGAGATATGTACAATATATATATATATATATATATATGTATATACACCTAGTATATATAGAGTGACCTGTTCTCCCCTGCACACAGCGAGCCTCGCACTGGGACATTTTCTGTTCTTTAGTCCAGTAGGTGTGAGGAGCACGGCTCCTCCCGACTTCTGCCAATCTGCCCAGAAGAACCACGGGAGGATCCCCATCTGCAAAGCAATCTCTGGGAAAGCAGCCAGCTTGGCCACAGAAGGACAAAACATGGAGCCAGAAGCAAGGCAGCCAGCGGGGGCCAGGGAGCCCCAGCGCAGGTGCGCTCTCCTCTGGCAACAGAACCCAGGGAGCCGAGTGCGAGACCTACTGAGTGCTCAGACCAGGATGCGTGACTTTCAGAGAATGAGCAGTGTCCTGCTGGGTCCCTTCTGTGTTTCATGGTGAAGTCCTGCGCTGAAACAGTCAGCGGCCAGGCAGACGCGTCAGTCCTAACGCTAGCATGGATGTGCCCCCCACAGCAAGCCGGGGGCCGGTGCCACACCCTGACACCRCCACTGTGCAGAGGGGAAATCCTCGACAGGTGGGACATGGACTAAACATCAAATAATAAAATAAGCGTCATCTTTTCAAAAATACTTTTATCAAACAAGTATAAATAAAAATAAACATGATCTTCACTTGGAATTTCTTACACCACATTCTCCTGGTCACATCTCCTACCCATGGTTTTGATCTCATCCGCCTCGGGAGGCTGCTCTACTGATCGTGTGGTTTATGGTCTCCTACAATGGGATGTAGCCTGAAAGTCATGAGATGATCTGTCTGGAGCCCTAAAGTGTGAAACAAATGGAAAACCAACCAGTGGGACGGAGGGTCCTGAGGAGACGCGTGCACTTCCCTTCCTGCAAAGGGACACTTAGTGTTTGATCCTGAACGATTCCCGGTGAGTCCAAGGTGCGACTCTGGTGTCCGACTTCCAGTGTGATACCAGAGAGGGACGCACAGAGAAAGAGGAGCCAGCACTGCGGGGCGGGCTGCCGGGAGCCGGCCCACGAGCCATGAGCCACCTAAATAAATTACTATTCACATCTGTACACGGCAAACAGAAACCTCTGCCAGGAAGTGCATGACGGACAGGGACTGGGGGACAACAGTGCTGGGGGACACGGGAAATCAAAGGCCTCTTTTTCCTTGTTGGACATCTTTGATGAGTTCAGCACATAAATGGAGCTAATGGAAGCTATGACAGAACAGACCTCTCCAGTTCTGCATTTCCCTGGGAGACCTGGCCCCTGCGGCCAGCCCCCTTACTCCTACTCAACTGACGGGTGTGTCCAGTTTCACAACATGAAAGGATGCTTATATACAGTGGACAGTGTGTGTAAACCCTGTGTAAATACTTATCAGAATCTTAGTCATTCCTAACACACTAGTGCAAAAAATTGTGCATCAAAAATTCTGCAGTAGGAAGCTGACTGGGAAGTGGGCGGATGTGCCTAGTGATGGAGACTCGGGGTGGCCGTGGGGCCGTTGCGCTCGTCAGACCTCGGGGAGGCACAGTGGAGCGTGGGTGGGTGTGTGCATCTATCAGAGAGCTGTCCCCTGGGAGGAAGCCTTTCCTTTCCAGAGTATTTGTGTCCATGGGGGTGGAAAAGAAAACAAACAACACGCGACATGGTGCTACCGTTTTGTCACCRCACCCGAGGGATGTATTCACGTGCCAGAAGGTTGCATTGAAAGGCCTCCCGGCCACACTGAAGCATGGAGCTCGGCGTGTCCTCGAGACTCGGCAGGCTCCCTTGAGAGACCTTGGTTCGAGCCGGTGCAGCCAGGTGCTTCAAATCCACGTGTGGAATGAGATGTGTTTGAAGTTTGATCCTCAGAAGACCCCGCCACATGGGAGTGGAATCCCCGCTGAACGTACACCGGTGGACAATGGGAAAGGTCGCTGCAGCAAAGCAAGAGAGAAGGGAGAGTGGTCTATGGCACCAAAGGAATCACCGCTTGTCCGTCAGAGGTATGGCTATGGATCAGTCCTGGGGCACTGAGGGCTATACCACTGTACAGACTGTGTTCAGAGTGGTGTCGAACCGCACAGCCTTCGCTTCTGTGGGCTTTAAGTTTGTGTCGTACATGGGGTTCTCAAACGACGCCTGTCCATTGCTGTTCTCGTGCCCGGCATAGCCATTGTACTGAACTTTCGGTCTTGTTCTGCAGGGAAGAGAGAGAGTGCACAGTTAGGGGCTGATGTCAGGCACAGAGGCCAATCAGCCAGGCTGGGGGTGGGAGGGGCCCACAGGCACAGGAAGTGGTGTGTGCAAGATGGGGCGGGGGGCACCTGCTCACTTACCAGAGCTGACTTCAAAAAAAAATTGCAGGTTGGGGGCAGCAGATACAGCTCAGTTGGTAGAGCGTTTGCCTCGCTTGCACAAGTCCCTGGGTTCAACCCCCAGCACCACACACACACACACACACACACACACACACACACACACATCAATAGTTGGGATTATAATACAGTTTAAAAAATGGAAGCCATTTCCAAAATCAAATGATGATTGGTGCTCCCTAGCAATGCTCCTTGGGGTGCTCTTCCCGGCTAGAGGCCGGTGGGGTCTGCTCAGTCACCTGTCCCTGAGCAGTCACAAGGCCTCGGGACGCCAGTGAACTTTGTGACTCTGCAGTGATGATGAAAAGAATGATGTCCACTATGGGGTGCCCGGCCCTGGAGACTTTTTAAATTCACCAAATTTATTTATTTTGAAAGTTTGMCTTTTTCTTAAGCGAGTTAAAAATTAGTCTGTTTTTAGAAACAAAACTACCCTTATTATTAAAATACCTTTATATTTGGTGGTGAAAAGAGTCCCCCCCACACACATATGACCCTTGATACAAGCATGGAGGGTGTTTAGACTGAAGAGATCTAAACACGAGGGGTCTGGCCTCTTCGTCTGTTTTCTTTATTCCAGGGAAACTGCAGAGGACACGTGTCAGGGTGTGAGGACAGAAGTCCAGTTCAACAGGACTCCCAGAGCCAAGCCAGCCAAGAGCCAGGGGACACTGGATGTGAAGAAACTTCTGCTTGAGTGAGTTTCTGTTGATTTTCTCTCAAGTTACAACGTGTTCATTAGGAAAAAGACGTATAAAAAGTGTGTGACCTCAGAAAATGGGTTTCCGCCAGCAAAATGTCCATTTCAACAGCCCCAGGCGTCAGAGTCRTCACCGACACTGAACCTAGAAGGCGCTCAGGCAGCCAAAGGCAGCGGACGAGGCAGTCGGTGAGACGAAGCCAGGCGCTGGCGGAGTCCACCTCCTGGCTGGGGGGGATGCGGAGCCGGACCTGGGGGGACGCCCTGGGCTCGGGGGAGGGAAACCAGGACGGCCTCCAGGCGCTGAGTGACACCAGGGCCTGACCCAGGAACAGCTTTCAGCTCACAGGGAGCAACAGAGGCTCAGCGACGCGTGGCGGGGTTCTCCCAGGAGACACACGGGGCCACCCCCAAGGACGGTGCAGAGAAGGCGGGGGAGGGAGCCYGGGCTTGGCCCTGCCCCTGGGCTGGGGCCAAGAACCCAGAAAGGTGACCACAGAGCTGTAGGCCACAGTGCCCACGGTGCCCTTGGGGAGCAGTGAGCAAGAGGGGCCTTCCAGCCCCAGAAAGCAGCCTGGGGTGGGTGGGCAGTCAGGATGACATCTAGGGCCCCACCCGCCACGGGAGGCATCAGACCACAGAGAACCCAGGCACCGTGGCGAGTCTGAGGCTGCCCCTGCGTGGCCTCCACAGAGACACTCAGCCACGGAGCAGAGCACGAGCAGGTGGACAGACAAGAGCTGTGGTGTGCACTGGATACTCGGCCACTGGAAGTCCTTTTACCTGACACAGCCACGCTTACTGTGCGGGGTCAACCTGCCACAGGACGGGAGTGGCTCAGGCCGCAGGAAGGCTTGCATCTCTGAGCCACAACAAAGCCTGCTCTCTGACATGGGGCACCATCCAACGGGACTCGTGGGCTGGCGGAGGGTACTGAGGACGCTCACCACTGGGTGGCAGGAAGGTCAGGGACTCTGCTCTGATGGAGCTGACCCTCTCCCTGGGGTGGCGTGGATGCCACACCCGCAAAGGCAAGTCTGTGTGAATTATCAGTGCTGTCTGTGTCCCCAGGGATGTGACAGTGCCTAGTGGAACTTGTGAAAGAGATACATCAATTTAAACTCTTCCTACCCCTGCATTGAGTGGGATGCGGCTGTGGCCCGAGTGTCTGCACTGACTGACTCTTACACCAGCTGAGGAGCAGAATCCCAAGTGGAAGGCTCACCAGACCGGGGTGCACAGGATGTTTTTTCCTTGCTTTTTTAAAGGGAGGTTCTGGAGATTGAACYCAGGGGGTCTTTACCACTGAACTACATCCTCAGACCTTTTAAAAATTATTTGAGACAGGATCTGGTTAAGTTCCTGAGGCTGGCCTCAAATTTGCAATCCTCCTGCCACATCCTCCCAAGTCTCTGGAATTACACAAATGTGACACCACACCAGCTCAGGATATTTTTTCTTCAAAATACAAAATAATAATAATAATTAAAGTTGTGCCAATCATTTTTGTGTATGTGCTGGGMATTTAACCCAAGACCTTGTGCATGCAAAGTCACCAAGCTACACTCCAGCCCACCAATCTATAATTTTGTAAATACCACTTGAGATTTCTTTTACTAGGCTGTGTTTTTAAAATACAGACTTTACCAACCAGAGGTGCTGCTAGTATACCTGCAAACTGTTTGTGCAATGCAACTGTGAAGCAACCTTCTTACAATTTTGTATAGATTTTTTAAATTATAGGAAAACACATATTTAAAAATTTGCCCTACAAGTTACTAAAATGTACCTTCCTTGGACTAAGTTTATTTTGTTTTAACCAGAATTAAGTGAAAATATGTGTGTCTTATAAATTGATATTTGGCATAAYTAACATACTTTAACCTTGTTCCAGAGGATTGCTACATTTTGTTGTTAGTTTCAGGGAATGATACTTTTCATTCAGTAGATTAGAATGATTTTGCATAAACCAGATTCCTCAGAGTATCATATTATTCCCATGGACAGCAAGGACTTTATAATCACTCTGCAACTAACTTCCTTCCTTCCTTCCTTCCTTCCTTCCTTCCTTCCTTCCTTCCTTCCTTCCTTCGAAATGCATCCACATTGACTCCAAGGAAAGGATTCCATTCAATAAAATTGTTTTACTCCAAGTTCTGACACTTTTCAATTAACCAGTATTTAAAAATTAATAAATACCTAGAACATTCTAGAGGGATGGTGAGTATGATATTGTTCAGTGTGTGTTAAGATCTCAACTTTTGCCTGCTAAAGGAATAGATTGCTCAACAATTCATGAGTCACAGATGCGTGGGGTGGAATGTGGTCGCGGGGCGCATTATTTCCCCTTCTGGTGGAAGGCTGAAGGCCAAGTCAAGGAATATAGGCCCCCTCTCAGCCTATTCTCTTAAAGCCGATTACTCAGATGTGACCTGCTRACACAGTAGGACAGCTAACAAGCAAAGGAAAAGAAACCAGCAACACAAATCCTTGGCACACAGCACTCCTAGCATAGCAATGCAGAACACACATGCGTGACATCCAAGTGCACGCCGTGGCTCACACCAACACTTCACACTCCGCACATTTGTGAATAGACCACGCTGCTCCAGTACCTGTGTTTGTAGAGGTAAAATGCAAACCCTGATAAAATGAGAGCGAAGAAAGGAACCAGGATGGCGGCTGCCACGGAGCCGCTGCTGGTGCCGTGGTACTGGTTCGAGGGGTCTTCACCAGAGCCCAGGGGATCTGGAAGACAAGAGGGGTTAAAATGTGCCGTTACCGTACCAGACTTAAGCAAAGCGATGTGCCTGATAAATTTCATCAGTGATCACAAACTCTGTGAGAAGCAGGGATTTCCTTTCCCCTGGAATCTAACTGACACTCTTTCTGGAGATTCAATGTCCATTTTAATGACCAACATACAAAAGCTGCTGGCAATTCCTTACCTACAGCCAAGGGGGCTGGGAAGGAGCCTCCCGGTGCAGACGTGAGGRAGATGAAGGGCACTAGGCACCCTTTGTTTGAGTGATAGTTTCATGCACATAGGAATACCTAACAAACATCTGTTGTCTATGTAGAGAGAGGTGCTGCTTTCTGAGATTCTCCAAAGTCTTGGACTGAAGGGAAGCTGCAGCTGGAGGTCACAGTGCAAGTTTGCATGGGGCCAAGAGAAGTGCTGAGCCACGCGCTGTGCCCAGAAGGAGGGAAGGCCGCGGCCGGCAGCTCAGAGGCTACACAGGCTCCACCCCTGGCCCTGGTYTGCAGAGCCGGTGCTTGCACACTCTGAGACAGGCCAGGGGAAGACAGACCAGCCAACACCGGTTCCCTGTCAATTGCCAAAGACAGCTGTTGGTTCTTGAAGAGTTTCTTTATAAAATATGGTTTTAAATGTATTTGGCCTCATTGCCTGAAGTTGCTCAATGCAAAGGGAAATGACAGGTAGCTTTTCTCTCTAAACCTGAGCACCCAGGGGATGGGCACGGGGCAGAGTCAAGCCAAGGGGAGCCTTCACCCTGGACGTCGGACTTGGGTGGGTGGAACAGTCACCACTTGCTCCTGTGGCTGGAGTGGGTGGGGCCCTGGGGACCACTGAAGTCCCCTGGTGGTTCTGGCTGTCATGGGCCACGTGTGGGTTTATCGGGCATTGGTTGGCCACTGGCAAATGTTCAGAGAACAGTCCACTCAAGCCTCTGCCATGCCGGTGGTCAGGTGCCTTCYTCTGTTTGTGGAGCGGGAGTCCTTTGCCGTCTGGAGGGAGGTGAGTTATCGGACCCTTGATGATCACACATCTTCCCTCCTTCTCTGTCTGTGGGAGGCATTTGATTTTAATAGGGCAATTCATTTTCGTTGATTATTTCACACAGGATTTTCCACTAACGTTGTCTTCAAATTAACTGGACTTCAGAATCCATTTAATGATGATACATTTTTTTTCCAGTTTATCTGACTAGAGACAACCAGATGGTTATTTTTCTCCACAAAATAGGTTTGTAGCCATCACTCTTAAATGAATGATTTTTCCTGAAATGTCACTTAAACAGACTTTTCTGATTAATTGAATGTGAMACTTGTTTGAGATTCAAATTATTTTGTGAAGCAAATTGTTCTCCCTGACAATAAGCTTATCTCCACATGAGGATAAAAATTACTTGTTAATTCAAGCTGTTATTTAGTTGGGCTAAAAGGGAAGACAGTAATGCCAAGAAAATGGGTGACAGCACAGGGGTAGTCTGGGTCGGTTCACTGCGTGAGTAAACTTGGCCCTCCACAGGGTCTCCCCGGGCCTGCCGTGTGTCCTGAAAATGACCACAGCCTGTACCGCTGGGAGAGGGCGGGCAAGCCGCTTCAGGATCTAGCCCAAGGTGAAAGAAAAGTGTCCCCCATCGTTAATGCTGGTCTAAGGGGTTCCTCTGTTCCATTACCCCAGACGACACACTTCACTTTGAAAGATGGCCTGGCATCACGATTAATTGCTAGCATCATAATTTAAAGTTTTTCTGCTCCATGGCGCCCTGCGTTTGGAATGGTGGAAGACGGCATTGCACGGTTGGCTTTCCTTTGTCCAGGGTGCTGCCTGGCAGGCTGGCAACCTGCCCTTTGCCTCCCTGGGCTCGGGGTAGGTCCTGGGGAAGGAGTGCATCAGTGATCACACCACAGAGCTTTGCCCTCCTGTGCCTCTGCACGGCAATCTTCCTCTTCATAAATTGGCATGTCCGAAGCCTCTTCCAGCCGCGCATCACGTAGTTCCAACCATCTGGCAGGAACGCAGGGCTAACCCCATACAACCTGTGTCTCCCCTACACTAGTGCACGTGGCCTATGGCTCCGTGAAGGGCATGTCTGTGCAGACCCCTCAGCATGCAGCTGCACCATGCTCCACAGCGGCTCCCAGAACCACAGCTCTACCTCCGTCCCCTGGCCAGCTCATCAGTGAGGCAGGATTCACTGCAGCGGCCCTTGCCTTGCACCTTCCCATCTCCTCGCTGAGGTCAAAATCAGAAGAAGAGAAGGAACACACAAGGCAGGAGGCTCTGCCAGGAGTGAACGGGTCTCCTGTGTGCCGGCCTCACTCGCTGGACCCACGGTGCTGAGTACACCATGTCCTACGTGATGCAATGCATCCCCAAACGCCTGAGCTGAAGCCGTCCCCTGTGGCCCTCGGGTGGCGTGCATGAGCTATCTGAACTACTGAAGGAGCCCCTGCAGATGCACCTGCGTGGGAAGAACGGGGTTCGTACTCGCAGGCCAAAATTTTGGAGAGAGGCTGTTGGAGGAGCAGACTGTCAGTCCTGCATGTCCACTCTCCATCACCAGAACTGCACGCCTGAGTGTCCTGGGATCAGCCAACACCGCGCTTTAAGCTGCACATTCTGGCGACTGAACGTGACCATTGATACTTTGTAGATTTACAGACTTTTTTTACTTTTAACATCCCTTAGTTTTCTTGGGGTGGTAGAGTTGCTCATTTTTAACTCGAGTTGCACCTTTGTTTGTGCCCTTGATTCTGAACCTTCTTGGTGCAGAAGGGTGCTGATCCCACAGTGACGTACCTGGTGCATCACCCCCCGCTTTGTTTCTGTCTTGTCTGTGAGCGTGCCAGGCCCTCCTGAGTGTTGCTAGGGTTTCTTTGGGAGTCATGTCCTTTGCGCTCCTGGGGGGTGAAGGGGGCCTCGAGCAGCTTACCTTGTCGCTCCAGCTTGAACTTCCCAAAGTCCTTCCCGTGTACGTCACCTTGGAAAGTGAATCCTCCCCGTTCAAGTCCTGAGGACACCTGGTACGTGGGGACAGGGAGGAGACATGTGAAAAGGAGGCCAGCGGGTCCTGGTGACCTCAGTGTCACTGCTGTCCTGAGTCGCTGTCACATCCCACATTTATGACATATTTACAGTTAGAAACTGAAAGTCATACAGGCTGGACTTCACTAACTGGGATTCATGTGACCCTCTCAATCTGACCCCTGAGGGGACAGTGTGGTAACTGCCTTGTGACAGGGAGATGGAGCTACGGATGAATAATCGAAGCTCCCGCATGGGAGACTCACGTGGTCACAGAAATKGGCCTGTATGCCTCATGAGGCTGTGTGCCCTTATCACACAGTGACCAGGACACAGCAAGATGACTCGCAAAGAAGGTGCTAAGGAAACCTCCCCAGCTCTCCGTTCACAAGGAATGCCGGCTCAGGACTCCCAGAGTAGCCACACGGTGGCCTTACAGTGGGTGGCTGCGGTGCTCTCCGGGGAGAGCCGTGGTCAGGCCCTGCTCTGTCCTTGGCAGAACGGCTGCTTTACTCTTGGCCAGTGATTCTCATTTTGGAGTTCGGTCTCCACCACTATAAAATGAGGGGTAAAGTGGCCCTGCTGCCAAGGGACGCCAGGTCTCCAGGGACAGAGTGACTTCTCTGCTCAGGTGGGTGCCCCCACCCTGCCCAGAGCATGGGGTGCGAGGAGGCCTCAGGTGGCACTTACGTAGCCATCRAGACCCCAGTTGTCGTTTTCAAACTTGCTCACAAAAATGTCTCCGGGCCCTTTAAYGTGGAAAGCTTTCAGGAGCAGGTGGGTCTCCTCCTTCTTGTAAACACCTGTGGAAAGACGGGCGTCAGTCCCACCTRGGGATCCTCAGGGCAACCGGCAGCMRCYGTAGCCACGGACTTGACCACAGCAAGAGCAGGCGCGGCCCCAGCTCACAGAAACCCAACAGAAGTCCTGGTTCAGTTTTGAGTCTCAGTGCTCCCCACTCCAAAAACACTGACAGCTCCTGAGAGTCCTTAATGGACCTGTTCCCCTCACTGAACCAGGCCAGGAAGGACAGGAGTGTGTATTTGATTCTTCTAAAAGACCCAGAATTTTTTATCCATATTTTATTGACTTTCGAGGGCAGGAATATGTAGAAAAAACAGACAAAACCGCAACACAAATGCAGCTATTTGTAGGGATGCCGTGGGCCATTGTTGCAGGAGGAGCACAGGAGGCCAGCAAGGACGCCGGTCCAGCCACAGGGAGGGGCACGGGGACGGGCATGACACCTGCGGGCTACACCGGGTGGAGGGCAACGACTGGCGTGTTCCCAGCACAGAAAACCCAGCACAGAAACAGGCGCTGCCTAAAGGGGCTGCCGCCACCTGCAGGCAAGGGAGCGGAGTTCCCAAGAGAAGCTGCAGGGGCTCCCACTAACTCGGCCCACAGGAGCCATCCGGAAGGTGCCAGGAGAGCGCCACAGGAGGGAGCCCGTGTCCAACCCCAGCCTTCTGAGGGCGGCTTTTCCCGCCACAGGAGAGGTACAACCACCTCCTGAGAGTGGACGAGGGTTGAACAGCAGCAGCAAAACCCACCGCTGTCCCAGTGGGCACCACAGTGTCCGCTGCCCTTCCTGCCCCACCCATTCTTTCAAGCCAGGCTGTGTGGAGTCTGTGTCCTGGGACTCACTCCCCCGGGGCGACCACAGGCCCCCCAACACTGATCCAGAGTCTGGGGGCACTGAGTCCCCTGGGGGCACGTTCTTTGGGGGAAAGTTCAAATCTCTGGTTCTGTAAGGAGAAAGATCTAAACTATGTGGCTGGAGCTGAGGAGTGTCAATATTTAAAAGCTCCTTAGTTTATTCCGACACCACTGGAGGCTCAGTGCCTGCTCTGAGTCATGTGCTCATTCACATGGGCAAAGCATAAGGGAGTGTGGGGTCTGGGCCACGGGCCATTAGCCCACCAGCCCAGGGGCCACCAGCCCACCAGCCCAGGAGCACACCCTGTGGATATCTGAGGGGGGAACAGTTTCTTTTTCCTAGTGCAGAGCGTGTGGGCTATTTTACATGTTTTCCTATCCAAGGACAGAAAAGTGAGATGTGAGGGGTGGGGAACCTGCCCCCAAGGTTGTCACCTACTGTGGGGGGAGGTGTGGCATTTTGAGACAGCTTGGCGTTGAGAATCAGGGCTGCCTCTTGTGGGTAATTCAGGGAGACTCTCAAGCCTTTGGGAGTCAGTTTATGGCAAATGGTGTCTAGTTACAGGAAGGGGGGTTAAAATCACTACATTTAAGCATGAAGGAGACTGAGCATGTCTGTTCCTAGCAGGGCTCAGATTCTGACTGTCAGTTCAGCTACACCTCTGATGACTACTTAACATATCACCTTAGGCCAGCTACTTAACGTTCCTGAGACCAACTCTCTCTCTCTCTCTCTCTCTCTCTCTCTCTCTCTCTCTCTCTCTCTCTCTCAAGTCAGTAAATATATATACACACACGCACATATATTTTATATATATATATATATATATATATATATACACACACACATGTATGTGTGTCATATATATCACATAAGGGAACTTGCACCATGGGATTTATGTGAGAATGAAAAAGACAATAGGTAAGACATGCTTAAAATTAAGAAGCACGTATGTACGGGCATAGAAATCAGAGCTTGTTTTCCTACTAACATTGTCATTTTATTCACTGGGGAGGAGGACATGAGTTAGAGGACCTGAAGAGAGTGGAGTTCAGCGCCGTGTGTTGGATGTGACCGTCAGGCCCTGGATCAGTGCTGTGCACGTGGCTGACCCTCTGCACTCCTGACCAGGGCAAGCTGTGTCAACCGGCCATCACTGTGGAGGGCCGCTGAGACCAGTGCTTGCAAAGCCCCCACAGCAAGAGCAAGCACTTCCCCCCCAGGAGCCCCGGGACAGGCAGGGCCCCACTGTCACCCCCCCCACCCCCCCACCCCGGTGCCTGACCAAGCCCCTCAGCGCCTACCTGTCAATTCCAGCTGCACCTGCGAGGCTGCCGTGAAGGTCGCGTTCACCTTGCTGCTGGTTGCATTGAACCAGTCAACGGTTAGAGTGGCAGGCTGTCTTTTTCCTAAATATTCATAATATCCCTTCCACACCGAACTGACGAAAAACACGTCCGAAGGAACTGCAGGGAAGGGAATAGATGTCGTCAGCACACACCGACGTGACGTCTGGACATTTCAAGCTCAGACGGCCTAACCCTGCTCAGTGAGAGATGGAGTCAACAGCAGGAGGTCGCCTGGTGCACTGTGCTCACACAGTGTGTGTGGCGGTCAGAAGAGACAGCCCTTGCTCTGTGCAGGCGACCGCTCTGCTCTGCGGAGGCAGGGGAGCCCGGGAGCCTGCCAGGCGGACCTCCGCGGCRTGGGCGTGGGAGGTGGTTCTACCAAGGCTAGTGTCCTTCTCCTGTGCTCAGAAGGAAAGTGTTCACTGCCCCCTGGACTCCTGCTGACACCTCACTAGCACCCAGTCTGYTCTTTGGAAGACACACACTTGGAGGAACTGACTCATGTCATCTGTGAGGTGCGCCTGCCCTCCACAAGCTCATGCTTCCGAGCAGGTGGAGGGCGCCAGCTTGTGAAGACAGGGGCCTTCTTCACTCAGGGCTTTGTTTTGCAAGTGGAGCTGACTGCTCTCCCCCATGCTCYTCTGCTCTACCCGAGTCTCCTGCAAAGCATCCCAACATTAGTCAGAAAGGGAGAAGTGGTCGCCTCAGCTGCCTCTTTTGTGTGCGTCTACTAAATTCAGAAATAAAAGGCATGGAGTCTTTTAAACAGATGAATCTGGGTCAGGAATGCATGCAGAGGTTCCTGATACACTTTATTTTCACAATTTATAAAAAGTGTTACATTTATCTTCCACATCTCAGGTAGCAGTTATGTATAAAACCCTGCCTTTTTCCTAGTGTCAACCTCAACATCAACGTATTACAATGGAAAGGTCCACATCAGGATTTCACTAAGGTTCTCTCCCTTATGAGGTACAGCTCCTCATGATGTACCAAAACATTCAATTAAACAAGTCCCCTGCAAGTAGAACTGGTCAAAGCACATTCGTTGCTAGATAGAAAGAATGATTCACTTCTCTCTAAAAATATTCTCAGTAAATCTAATAAAGTGGAAATCATGAAGTCACAACGGTGTTCCCGCTTCTTGCTGCAGCCCGTTRGCCACTCTCCTGTGTCCCTGGACAAGCTAAGCCTGCAAAGACCCTAGTAGGAGAAGCCCGAGAGCAGAGTGAGGTTCCCTTGGCTCTGCATAAACCCAGCTTACAGTAGAGACCATCAAATAATAGTTAAATGACGTCTCAGCACAAGTGTCTGAGACACTTAGAGATCACTGGCATTAAACAGTGGCTAAGAGGCCCTGATTTTAACTGGCAACCCCCAAATGTTTAATTTATTAAAATCAACAGYCTCTAGAATAGCCCAGATTGCTTCTCAAAACTGGTTTCTGTAACACTCAGCTGAGAATATTAATGTGTGCACCCCTTCCCTCCAGCCCTGAGGGTGTCTCACAGTAGTGGGCATCCCCGACTGGGTAGGTGAAGGTAGCACCGGGGCTTCAGAGCCACCTCTCTGTATTCAGACATGACCATCAGTCATGGGGTAGCATTCTCCTTGGGTCCTTGCCACTTGAGTTCCTGCGGGTAGTGTGCCAGTGCACCAGCCAATAGCAGAGCCATGCTAGTGTGGACCACCATGATAAAGAACCTAGTGTGGACCACCATGGTAAAGAACCGTATCTAGTTAGCACCTCCTCAGAGAGAAGAAAAGTTACCCTGAAAATAATGTGTGCACCTACAAAAAGCACATGTAGATATTTAAATATGTTAGACACAAAATAAGAAACACATGACAATGAAATGCTGCACTTCCTTCTGTTAAAGAAAGTGTTGCTTGGATACTATTGATTCTTGTACTTGATTTGTGGTATTTTAATGAAATAGTGAGGAAAGATGATTTTATGCTCTTCATGGTGTAGGATGGAGAGAGTCCTCTATCATGCGATCTGCCTCACCTAAGAATTGACTGTGCAGCACAGCATTACYAGTTTCCTTCCACACTGATGTCAAAATAGAGCATCATGTCCAAGAAACCAGGATTAATACCCAAGTAAGGAAAATACTAGTCATTGACCTCATATGTTTACAAAGACTATTTATGCTTAAAAAAAAAAACTTGGCTTAAATGAATTTAATTTGGGGATACTTGTTTAATTTAAATAGTATCCAAATCTGTAACACAGAGCCACCTTGCCAAATGATGTCAGACACAGAAGCCCTCTCTTAGGATCAGGACTGCGCCTTTCAGATTCACTGCCTGATGCATTGAGTAAATTCCCCACATGGTGACAGGCCATGTGTGGGGCATTTGCTCAATGATGAGCCTGCTGGAAGGCAGAGATATGGAAGTCATGGATCATGCAGGTCTTGGAAGACGGGGTTGCCTGTGTGAACTGCTCTGGTGACAGCGCACACCATCATGCTTGGTTGGGGCTAGCTCCCTCACACAGAGGAAGGACTGCAACCCTATTTATAAGGCTCTCCATCATACCACGCGTGGGCTCAGCCTGTCCTCTGCCTCTGTGGAAGCAAATCGTGAGCAAGCATGTCCAGGGCTGCCCTTGCACACAATGTTGTTCCACTCACGAACCCCTGCAGCAAATCAAACAGAAATCTGCGCAGGTGTGGGGTGTCAAACCATCCGAATGCTACTTTGCCCCGGGTAATGGATTCAGAAATTTAAATGCTAAGAATTGTTTCACTGTGCAAAATAAGGAGAGAACAAATCACTTAATTTGATTGAAATCTATAACTGTTCTGGTATACAAACCTGGAGTTTTAGTAACTGTTTCATTAACTTCTCTCACTCCTTTACCTACAAGTAAAAAGACAAATTATCATTTTCAAAAACATTTATTTTTTAATAAGTTTGAAAAAAAATGTCAAATTGAAGCAATTTTCCTTTCTCCAGATTTTTTAAATGTACCAAATACGACTGTCGCATCCGTATGCATCTTAGGCCCCTGTGTGAACAGTGTYCTGTGTGTCGTGGAGAGCTGCCTTCCACAGGGGGAGTCTTGACACCCACCTCATGGGCAAATCCACTCCGGTGCTACAACAGAGAGCCTTGCAAATGAGGGTGGCTTGGGTCAGCCTTCTGACACCCTGCTGGGTCACCGCCTCACACTAGGGCCAGCTACCTGAGGTGTCCAGGATTCCAACCCTCTGGTGTCCCAGGGCCCCACATCCTCTGGCACAGAAGAAGACAGAGTCCATTCGGTCTATTGAGTTAGTCTTACTTTACTGTCTCGTAGCTTTTGTATTTACAGGTCAAACTACAAATGGTGATTTTTAAAAGCTCGTATTCTTCTGTTCTGACGGGGAAGGGCAAAGGGGTGTATTTTAAAATCCTTAACCTGAGACTCTGAGTCAATGTGCTCCAGGAAGCCAAGACTGATGTACTCCACAAATTGCTTCCTGCTGTCCAAGACTCAAGGCGGATCCACAAACCACACTGGTTAGAATGTGACAGGTTTGCTGCCAGCAATTCTGACTCACGTGTTACTCTCATTTGTAAACACACAAATCTGTAATTAAATCATCATTTTCATGCTAATTGCTTTTGTAACTTCAAAAAATAGAACAAATGTTAAGAATATATAAATGTCTACTTCACCACCAAACACCTTACGGATTCAAAAACACAGGTAGTTTCACTTATGTATTCTCAGACACTTGGTAATATTTATTTATGCATCTTCAGTTTTAAGAAGCACATTTTCTGAGAATATATTGTTTATTATTTTTTTCTTTTAACTCAGAATATTTTTCTTCAGCCACATAGCATTTCTCTTTTGCTTAAAATGTAGATAGCGAATTATAAAGTCTCTATGTCCATGTAACCCTGAGGTATACATCAGTCGCTCACTGTATGCACATCCAGGCACACACAGCTCAGGCACACGGAGTGTGCTAAGGCGGGCTGAGGACATCCTGCCACTTCTCCTGGGCCTCAGAGCTGCTCATCTGCTGGTGGGCAGGGGACGCTCCTCCCTGCTCTCAGGAATGTGCCTTCACGCCGTGATCAATGACTTACTTTTACACACAGGTGACTTCCCCGTCCACTTCATATCTGYCTTGCACGTCCTATGTTCAGAGCCACCGGCCAGGAAGAAGCCCGCGTGGCAGGTGTACACCAAGGTGTAGCCGAAAGCAGGAAGGTCGATGGCCCGCACGTCCGCGTGCGCCGGGGTTTCTGGCTGCCTGCAGGCGTGAGCTGAAACGGCATTCATCCCGTTAGGAACGCGGAGACCGCCTCACTGCGAAGCTCACACACGCGTCCCAAGAGGTAAGTAGCAAGCACGTCAGAGACGGCTGTGAGGCAGGTGATTTCACATATGACATATACACATGATTACATGTAGAGACTCAGAGGAGAGATCCTAGCTTTGGAATAAACGGGACACTCTGATATGCAGGTAAGATGAATAATAGTTAAAACTCTTACATGACCAGTCTTATAAACTAACACAGACAGGCTGACACATACTCTAAACATACCTTGAWTCTTGTCAGGTGGCAACTAACAAATTTATTGTTCAATGAAGTGTGTGGTAAAGAGTTGATGTGCACTTAAAGACTTAATTAAAATATAGATTCCCATTTTCTTTACAAATATAATTTAAGAGTAGATGGGAAYGTAATGCTGATTATATATTTCAAATAGCCTTACTTTTGATAAAGTTTACCCATATGTCTCAGATTTAAAAACTTGGTAGATTATTATAAAACAAGTTTACAATTTTAAAACTGTAAATGAAATTGCTTCAAGTATTGCCAATATTTCACATTTTATCAGGCTTTCAAACTTTTAAGATAATGAATTCTTGCAAGTTCTGTTTTACCTAGAGAGGCACAGTTCAATGGGCACATACTTGAGTATATGCACGTACACATACGTATGCTAGCCACATATCTGAGTAGTGATGTAGAGATGACAACTTTAAATTAACCACACATCTGATAATTCTGATAAATACATAGAAAATCACACCTTACATTTTAGCAAAAATAATTTTTCATAACATTCTCCTGATGCTTTATGCTTAAAGCCAGATAAGATGTAGCATTTCACTAAATCAATGGTGGGGAAATGAAGGGCTGATTCGCTACTTGTCCACAAAACACTGTCTCTAAATCTCATGATCAAATCACAAAACTAAATTTGGTCCTCAAGTAGCTATTTCAGTGATCCATTCTTATACTCTTCGTATCTATAACAAAAATACAGCCTAAGCATTTATACTGTTCTCTGACATATCACACGACCTACTAAACACGAGGTCAACTTACAAGCGAGGAGAAAGGGGTGTGGTACCACCCTGTCCCAGGACTTCTGACTTTAGCCTGGTACTGTCAACTGGAAGGCTTGCTAAGCACAGACTCCCGGCCCACCTCCCTCCAGAGTTTCTGACTCATAGGTCTGGGGCTGAGAACTGGCATCACCACCCAGATCCTGGCCTTGCTGCTGCTCCAGGTCCCCAAGCGTGAGACTCACGCTGTTCAGGACTAGGAAACTGTCAGTGTCAGACACAGACACTGCTCCTGGCTCCACTCAGGGCAGCCCGCCCCCCCAGACGGCGACAGGTGTGCCCCGTGGMGCAGAGGCCCACTTACGTATGCACTCTGTCTGCAGCCCGCTCCACGTCAGGTTGGCCAGGCAGGTCCGCGTTGTGGAGCCTTGAATGTGGTACCCCTTCCTGCACCTGAAAAACACCGTGCTCCCGACCTGGAGGAGACCAGGAGGCGTCAGGGGCAGAGCCAAGCCCAGGTGCCCACGCGACGCAGCCAGCCAGCTTCCGCCCTGCCCTGAGAGCTGTTGGAAGCTACATGTGCTTCCCACTGTGGTCGGACATCCTCAGGACAGAGACCATCAGCGAGTGGAGTAAGATCTTAGACCACCGAAAGTTAGGAGGCTGTTTGGGCAAAGAGAGCACGCTTTCTCTCTGATTTCAGGGCTCCTGCTTCTTAGACTGTAATAAGTATTAGTTTCCTTTCCTTTTTTCCTGCCACTCATGTTTTAAACAATTGGTATTTATTAGAAAATCACTTTTGCTAACTCTTCCAGGGTGCCGACTTCCTCCTGCTCTCTGAAGGAGTCCACTGACCATCTTTCTGGTGCTTCAGAATATCCAAGATTCTCAGGGATCGGTGACTTTTATATTTTTTTTTCTGAAGAATGAGCTGTGGGCAAGTGTGGAGAGCACAGGAGATCATCCATGACCCTTTACACCTGAAGCACAAGACCAAGCAGGGCGGAGGGGGGAACCGCGGCCCAGGAAAGCAGCTCTGCTCTCAGGGCCACTCCCCAAGTCTCTCCTCATGGGCTAAGCAAGAGTCCTAAGACGCAGACACACATCCTGACATGTGCTCTGAGAACCTTATTCCTCTGTGTCTGTCTCCCACCGCGTGAGGCCACGCAGCCCTCGCTGGAAGTTTGGGAACAATTGTATGTAAAATGCGAGGAGACGTTGGTACATTGAAGAGTAGTGGGGATGACGCTCTTAGCATGGAAAAAGTKAAGTAGGAGTTTACAAAGAAAAATTCCAAAGCCGTCTAAACTCCGGATGGTAACTCTGGTTCGTGGTGAGAAAGGTGGGCCTGTCACGCTCCTCGGGGGCCTCCACGGATCTCCTGATGAGCCCTGAGGAGCCTCCCAGTGGCCTGACTCMGAGCTCCTGGCGAACACGCTGCAGCCTACCGACTGGAAGGCGAGGGAGAGCGTCTTCCCCTGGCAGAAAGCAAGAGCAGTGCCCTCCTCACAGGGCACTTTAGCAGGGTGGCCACACCACCCGAGATGGATGCCACACACCAACCTGGGAGCKCGGGGACTTGTGGGACGGGTCTGGCTGAGCAGAGGAAGCTGGTCCCTTAGTTGGTGTGATTAACAAAGTATACCTGGAACGTTCCAGAACTGAAAGGGCTCACTGTGTGGGGGCGTGTTTCAGCACCCAGTGCTGGAGAACCAGCCTGTGTTCCCCTGGGGGAGGAAGTGTCTCTCGGGGACCCAGCACTCGCTCTGAAGACAGTGTCTTGTCCCCTAAGTGGTCAGYGAGTCTTGCTGTGGGTACGGCCCTCCACTCGTGTTGCTGCACTTCACTGGGCCATAAGGGGGGTGCAAGCCAACCGTGCCTTACATGCTGCTAATGAACCAGCACCATGAGCTCTCACCCACTGTGCCGTGCACTGCAGGTCACGAGGTCTGAAAGCCACGTGATCAATGGCGATCAAGATTTCATTTTTTGTTTTTTAGTCAGTGAGAACAATGCCCGCATACAGTATTWTATAATATTCCTAGATATTAGCTATTGAATGTTTATTTACCAAAAAGCATTGGCCTGAAGTTTAAGGCCGTACCTCAAAATGACAGAAAATGCAACTAGATTCCACCTGTTGGCACCTGAGAGAACCTTCTTTGTGGGGTGCCAGAGAGCTGTCAGGAATTAGCAGTGTGTGCCCGAGTAAGAGCAATACACTAGGGTCCCTGGGAGATGGGAGGGGGCAGCTGAGGAAGCAGCCCATCTCCGTGGACAGGATCCCCAACGCTGGTTTCCAGGGCCACATCCTGAGAGAGCCCTGGAGCTACTTGGTTCTTAGGATGGTGAAAACTTCTTATTTCAAGCTTGTCTTGCATTTTAAGCATTTCTCTACATTAACCACAGTGTTGATGTGCTCTCTATTAAACGCCAACTGATCATTCACAAGTGCTGATCAGATGCTCCTCTGCCGTGGTGTTTGGAAAGTTCAGGTGAGAACAGGTATCACAAATTAGCTTGGACCAAGGGGCTGGAATGTAATTTCTTCTGTGTTTTTTTTTCTCTCTAGAATTTAATATCTACCCATTATATCCAGACATTAAGTGGAGTCTTTGATGTGCAATTAATTAGTAATTGAGAACTTCCCTTGGAGCATAACAGACAAATAAATACAAACTTATGCATGCTTTCAAACAGAAATTAACATAGCCATTGTTACAGGAGTGACCAAGTCCCGCAGGCCATCCCGAATTTGACAGTTCAAATACATGCAGAAATCCTCAATGAATGGATTTCATTTGGGAAAATATAAGATGAACAAAGTATGATATAAAAGTGCAAACATGTGTTTAAGAATCCACTCAATTTTATATTTCCACTAAAACATGCAAAATAAAAATGAAGTACCTCATATCCTCTGGAGCTATTCTGTATTCCRAAATGTGGAGTACCAGGGTCTGGACAGGCATTGTGTGCAGGGTCTGAAACACACAATTAAAACATGGCAGCGTTGATATTAAGAGATTTTGCAAAGTTGATGAAACATTGTTTGACAATATGCGAGATGTTTGTCATGAAACTTGAAGTAAATTGCAACTTTCCTCTATCAGACCTCTTTAGATATTAATTTTTGATGTTAGCAGACTTTGAGTAGCTCTGTATATTCTTACTATAAAAGAATAAGTTGCTCTTTTCCCTTTTTTGGTTTCATTTCCTTCACTGATAATCGTTGATTAATATTATGATAAGGGTTTATTTAATAGTCATCTCAGCTGGTCATCCATGACATTTTTCCAAATTTCTTCAGTAAATTTTCAAAATTTCAAAAGCAGAAATCCATTTAATGGTCCAAAAGGAAGTGTAAGGTAGTCCAGCAGTGACCTTTGCCAAGCATGTAGGATAGGAGTGGTCACAAGCTGTCCTGCTGCAACACTGGTGCTCCTTGCTACTCACAAAAAGTAAAATAAAAATAAGAAATAAACAACTTTCTAAAATTTGTTTTCTATAGCAACTAATCCATAACAAGAAAGAAAAAAAAATACTTCTGGTGTAGGAATATCTTCCATGTAGCAGTAGTTTAAATCAAATGACAATAGACAGAATTAGGAAAAAGAATGCTTCAATGAAATTTTTCTAATACTGTCTTGATTTTTAAGTAGATATTATTTGACTTCTTAGAAAATAACCAAGATTGTAAGCCATTATTTTTTTTTTTTACTATAAATTTGCAGGAAAATAGCTCAGTAAAACTGGGTGATGAAAATCAACTCAACCCTGGGGTGAGTCTGCCTGGCTGGAGGCTGTTCAAGGACCAGTAAGGCCCCATCTTGCAGGAGGCTTCCCTGCGGGGTGGTGCAGCCATGACTGGAGCACCGGGTGGTGTGCGTGCAGAGGCTGGCTAGGTGCAGGCTGCAGGGGCTGCAGGTGGTCAGCCACTCAGYACTTACTCTGAGCGGCACCTTCTGTGGAGCACCCTGGAACCACCAATGACCCGGTTTGGGAATGCAGTGTCCTGTGCCTAAACCTCCCCAAGCCTGGGGCTTTGCTCACCGATGCAGGTGGGCTGTATGCCGCTCCACGTGCCGTCAGCTTGGCAGACCCTTCTCGAGGACCCCACGAGTAGGAACGGAGATTTGCACTGGAAGAAGACTTCGGACTTGTAGGTGAAACTCTTCCCACTGAGCCGGCCCTCAGCAGGAGTGCCAGGGTCTCCACAAAACACAGCTGTGGAGAGCAACCGGGAGACGTCACCTGGCGCCCTGGGTCAGCTAGACCTATACTAGTGTCTGTTAGATCTTGGAGGAAAGCCCCTGCCCTCTGGCAAGGCCAACCCCAGTGTAGGATGCTACGRGTGGTAACTTGGCTATGACTGCCCATCACTGTGGCCTCAAGTTGCCACCAGGGTGTGTGCAGTGACTGTGGCTCTGGGAGAAGTAGAACTGGTGTCGCTGCAWAACTTACGCAGGCACTGGGGGACCTCTCCTTTCCACACCCCGTGGCCTTCGCAGGACAGGATGGCCGAGTGGGAGAGCTGGTAGCCGTCCACGCAGCTGTAGCTGATGCTGGAGCCCCAGTGGAAGTCGGTCCCCTCCACCTTCCCGTGCGGCACCAACGGAGGCTGGCTGCACAGGACCGCTGCATCCAAGAACAAGCAGTGAGACGTCTGAGCGCCTCGGTGCCCGTGCCCACGGCTGCCCATGCCCACRGCCGGGCCTGAGTTCTCCCCAAATTCAAAGGACATCTATGTAGGGTTATGTTCTTTTTCAAATAGGAGAACTGCTGAGGACGACAGTAATAAGATCACACAACTGTTCTCCAGTGCTTCTTCGTTAGTTCAGGTCATGTGTACAAAAGCAGCGTGAGTCAAAGCCTGATCGCTGCAGAATGGAACAGGATCAAACAGCACTCTCTACGTGCTCAGGCCAAAGGGGAAGACACTTTCTAATTCCATTTGTGTCTTTTTGGGCTGGTTTCCAGGGACAAATCAAATGAGGACTTGGTCATAGAACACGAATAACACCTTTGGTTTCATACGTAGGGATGGTGAGATTTCCTCCTTTCATTTGGAAGTTTCATTTATTTAAAGATCACATAGAACTTCCTGAAGGTGCAGCCTGTTCACCCATWTGCTGAACCCTGAGAACGAATGTGTGAAGGTTTACCGAGGCCTACAGACTCGCCCTTGTTGGGGTTGTGGCACAGTCTTGCTTGTCCCCTGGGGCCTTCATGGATCTGCCTTCCCTCCTCTAGAGATTCAACAGGTATTTCCTGAGAATCCACAGGTGTGGGTTTGGTGGACAGGTACATGGGACAGGCTTCAGGTTGGGATCAGGAAAGAGCCACATGGTTCACAGAGGGTGATGGGTGAATCTTCAGAGAAAACTTCAAGGGGAAAGAGACAGAAAGGTGGGGAGTCTGTTCTGGAAGGGCCTTGTGGACCCCGGTGCTGACTATGAATGTGACAGGTGTCAGCAAGAGGAAGACGGTCTGCAGGAGCACCCAGGAAGCCCCACGCCAGGCCGTTGCCCTGGTAACCGCCCCCCCACACACACACTACTCTCACATGGCTGCGTGCCAGCACACGTTGACCCCGGGCTGCACTTAGTGCTAGGAGTTGCAGGTGGGAGAGGACCATGGTGAGAACCCTGACTCTATGGGGGAAGTGCAGGGTGGTCTGGGGAGCATGCAGGGCCCAGGGGGGACAGGAGCCACGTTCTCGGGGTCTCTGTGAATCCTCCAGGTCCCTGAAGACCATATGCAGGGCGTCCAGGCCCTGGCTCTGGCTCCCACAGCCTCGCTCTGCTCCTGTGTCCCTCTGTGCTGGACCACTGCAGCTCTCAAGCTGGACGCCTGGTCCCCCCACCCCACCTGGGCCAGCAGAGGGCAGGGCGCTTCCTCTATGGTGCAGGAGGGGACCGCCTAACCGTGTGGTGATCCCCCCACTCCTACTTCCTTGCCCCCAGGCCAACCCCCCCCTGCTGCCTGGGGTCACCCAGAAGGGAGTGCGCCTGTCCTGTCCCCCAGAGAGCAGTGGTATGAGCCTGGCCTTCTCGGTACCTGTGCACCTTCCCTCCTGGCCTCCAACCCTCCAACCTCAGGGCCTGCTCTTTTCGGTCATTTTCAGGAGATCGCCTGTGTCCTAACCTGCCCCTCTGCTCCCAGTTATGTTCACGTCCTCTCCAGGAAGGACAGCTGACTGGGAACACTCCTGTCTCCATTCCCGATATATGACCCCAGGCCACCCACGACACCTCTCTCTGGATGACAGTTCCCCATGTGCAACACCAGCATTAGCCTACTGTGAAAACCTAGTGTTCCCAAACATGGGGTCAAGAATTCCAGAATTTCCAGCTCCCAGAATGGCTTCGTACATACTTGCAAAATTAAAAAAAAAAAACACAAAACATAATTCCTACCAAGACACCTCCACATCTCAGCAAGACCAAAACATGAGGCACACACCTTTGCAGACAGGTTTGCTCTGATTCCACACCCCATCCTTGGTGCACTGAATAGTGGCTGAYGAGGCAGGTTCCATGAGGTACCCCGGATTGCACTGATAGGTCACTGTCTTGTTGAAGGTGAAATCAGACCCAAACTGGACGCCATTGGGCAGTGAACCTGGATCGCCACAGCTTATAACTAGAGGCAGGTAACAAGAAGAACCAGAGATACATGAAATTATCTTAGCATAAATTAGTCCTGGTCTCTGTTTAAGTTACACACTGAGCTGCTGCTCAAAGTGATGACGCAGTGAATTATGGAAGTGTCSCTAGCCTGGGTCTGATGACTGGATTTACCGTTGTTAGCAGGCCATGTGCTTGAATTACTTATTCCTATTCTACTGGTACTGCTGTGTGGACGCTGGCTGCTGTCCTCAGCTGTCCCTGATCAGGCCTGCTGGGCAATCACGCGATGCCAGCCAAGAACACAATGCAGGCCGTGGTCAGAGAACCAAACATCTTATTTCTTTGTAGACTAAATGGTCTACAGAGAGAGCCTTGCCGTTTTCTTTTTAGCATCTGTTTTACAGCACAGAATGTAAGTGGCCATGTACAGAAACTGGCTCTAGATAAATAACAGAGCAGATGACAATCTTAAAGTATCTAAGGAACAGACTCTTAATATCCAGGGAATAGTTTTCCATTTTTATGTATAAACTTTAAAATTTAATAGAACATTTTGGAATCATGCTGCTTTTTCTCAGCACAAGGACTTCACAGCAGTGTCCTGGGCCCACCACGAGGGCTGCCACTAACTTGTGCAGTCGGGAGCYGCGCCTGTCCAGGTGCCGTTGGCCGTGCAGTGCCGCGTGGTCAGCCCTGAGGTCTGGTAGCCCTCCCAGCACGCGTAGATGACGGAGCTGGAGAACAGGACACCGTCGCTGCTGACGATCATGCCATTGGTGGGGGTGCCAGGATTCCCACAGGACACGGCTGTGGGAAGAGCAGAACAGCCACACAAAGTGGATGACCCCTGGCTGAGGTGTCGGGGACCAAGGGCTAAGAGTTCAGGGGACGGCACGTTGGTTACAAAACTGCCTGTGTGTCTGTGGAAGGGCGTCAACGTGCACTTTGGATCATGTCTGTGGATCATTCTATAGAACAGGGCCAATGTGAAACKTGCATGTTCACCTGATCCTTCCTGAAGTTCATTGCTTTCAAMCCAATCAAAACATGAGTTAAACCCCTGAAAATTCAAAGTCTCTCTACTTTGGGATTAAACACATTTTTAAACCTAGATAGAATTATTGTGAATTTTTTAAAAATTCACAAAAATTTAAAAAATTTACTTTTGTGCCATTAGTATCTCTGAAGCATCCCTTCACACACGGGCTTTTTTTTTTCTTTCAAAATCTGGGCAACTTGGTCACATATCACATCTCCAGGACAATTCACTTGGAAAACTGTGTGCCTTGGGGACTGTGAGAGACTAGCCCAAACCGTGTGGTAGGATGGGCTCCCCAGACAGCTGGACCCACCGCGCCGCGTGAACACCTTCGCTGACTTCAGACTGCGAATCTCTCAAGGCTTCTCAMGGCCACTCCCAGGCACTGACACCTCACTTGATGTGGCAGGTCTGCACCTAGTGCTCACTGCATGTGCTCTTCTGCTGCCACCAAGGCTCGCCAGGCCACCGAGGCCCATTTCAAGGAGGCAAATTCAACCCAAGGCTTTTGCCGCCTTAGTTGACCTATTTACCAGATGACTGTCATGGTCCTCCTTATCCCTGTCACATTAACATTCAATAGGCAGGCAAAGAAGGTCTGCAACCCTTGTTGGACTACACAAGAATGCGCCCTGAGACTTCCTGGGAATGATCAACATATTTGAAATTACACTTGCATATTTATTTGCTCCACCTTCAAAACTAGCTCTGAGAACAAAGATACATTGCTCTTAAAAATATGGAAGAAAACTCAGTGAATACTTTGCATAGGACTCAAGTCACTATTCTGCAATTCAGGGAGGTTACCTTTCTTAYTAATTTGGAAAAGTACATTTGCACRCCAGGCTGAGCTGCATCTTACAGAGAGCACACACACCGGTGTTTCTGATCCCGAGCCCACAGCAGACATGATTATCAATCACAACCCTCTTCCCTGAAGGATCTGGGTCTGAACTTACTAACACAGATCACTCAGCACTTTCCTGGTTGGTCTGTGAGTTGAGAAATATTGACCACTCCAGAAGCAAATTACAACTAAGGTTCTCGAAAGCTTAAAGGATTTATGATTACTATGATGTCAATCAAAATTTCATATTGCAAAAGACCAAGGTGTTGGGTCATTCAAGATTCCTGTTCACTCCACATTTACTCTTTACTTAGCACCCAGTAGGTATTCTGCACAGGTACCARTTGGAAGTCTGTCAGGGAAAGAAGATTCGTGTGATCAAATTCTTTTTTGTGTGATCAAATTCTCCTTTTTTTAAAAAAAAGTATTTTTAGTTGTAATGGACACAGTACTTTTATTTTGTTTATTTAATTTTTCATGTGGTGATAGGGATGGAACCCAGTGCCTCACTTGAGCTAGGCAAGTGCTCTATTACTGAGCCACAACTCCAGCCCCCGTGATGAAATTCTTAACATAACCAATCAACCAAAGAGCAGACGGTTTCTTGTTGTGCTCTGCTATTTCCTACTAATATCTGTGCTTAAACCTCCATGTCACCCAGGGAGGGCCAATGTCAAAATCCGTGAGATAACAGGTGGAAAAATATTCTACTTAACTTATATATTGCTGATAAGTGAATTCTCTGATGACAATCCTTGTACTGAGAAAGCCCCCCCAGATGTTGTATTTTATATAGTAAATTTTTGATTACATTTTTTTTCTTTCCTTTTTTGTGGATGTCAGGAAATACTTTCACTGATAACTGCAACAAAGTAAAACAAAACAGGAAGCCAGGTATAGGGAGCCTGCYTATAATCTCAGCCATTCAGGAGGCTGAGCCAGGAATCACAAGTTTTGCCTAGGCCAAAAAAGAAAAAAAAAGGAATGGGGTGTAACTTCGTGGTAGAGCACTAGTGTGAAAAAGAAAGAGGGAGAGAGGTCGAGAGGGAAGAAAGAAAGAAAGGAAGGAAGGAAGGAAGGAAGAGAGGGAGGGAGGGAGGGAAGGAGATTTAGAGTCACTAAAAGAGAAATATGTTTTTTTTTAAATTGGAAAGTATTTTCTGAAATCCAAAAAAAGGAAAAAAAAGAATGTGATCACAAATTTACAACGTCTGTGTGATGGCTGTCTTCATCATTATCACATCTCTGCCACCTGAAGCAGCTTAGGCATTATCAAACCCACATGGAGAAAAGACGGGGAGTTTCCCAAGCAGCTAGAACCAATGATGTAGTTACTTTTGAGCAACTTCAGGAGACAGGGCCTTTTGGAACACTGATAAGCCTATGATTAAAGACTAAATGCTAACCAAAGTCTACGTGACCTAAACTTAAGGAGAATGTATGAGGATGTGTGCATTTCCTGCCTGCAGAAAGCTGGTCAGTTATTGCAAAGCTCTGCTCACCCCGCCCTCACTGCCAGCACCCATAAAACAAGCAAATCCTATGGAGAGCCGGGCACAGGGGCACACGCCTGTAATCCCAGCAGTTCTGGAGGCTGAGGCAGGAGGATTGCGAGTTCAAAACCAGCCTCAGCAAAAGTGAGGTGCTTAGCAACTCAGTGAGATCCTGCCTCTAAATAGGGCTGGGGATGTGGCTCAGTGGTTGAGTGCCCCTGAGCACAATCTCTGTAATCTCTGACTACAGAGATTATCTGTCGTCAGATCAGAAGCCACCATTGTGCTCTGAAGTTTTACAGTATGGGCCAGTGCTGTGGGACCTCTTGGACAAGCAGGGTATCTCCAGGTGCTCGCTCATGATTTTCATTGATGCTCTGGCCAATTTGGGGGGAGAGGGTTTAACTGTGCATATCCTATGTCTCGAGGACTGTCAGGGACTTTTGCTCGCCAGTTTGGAATGAGCTAAGGTTTGAAGCCTCAAGGTGGACTCCACAGCTCCCGCTCCTCACCCTCACACACGGGCTGCACTCCTGACCATGACCCGTTGAGCAGGCAGGTGCGCTCCGGGGAGCCCCTCAGCTGGTGGCCCATCTCACAGGAGAAACGCAGGAGACTCTTCGTTTTAAACTCATCCCCAAGGCGAGACCCATGGGCTGGCGTCCCTGGGTCTCCACAAAATCCAGGAGTGCTTCCTGCGGAACATAAACACACAGCAATGCACAGTTGTGTGAGACTCGTGTGAGACGCATCGTTATACTAAGACACTGAAATCTAAGGACCTCTTGGACATGAGTCATGGTTACATAGTATTCTGGCAATCTTGTAAGACTTCTTAATCACAGCCCTCGAAATGGAAGACATTGGGTCAAGGAAATATTGAAATATGAAAATATTGTGATGAGGACAAATGACATTCTTTTGGAAGAAATCAAATTCTTCTAGTGGTGCGTGAGCTAGCGTTCCCTGGAAAGGTAAGAACAGACAGCAAAGGGGAGGCAGGTAAGGTGCCTGGTGTACTCAGAACGTCTCAGGAGAGGTCYGAGTCTTCACAGTCAGGTACAGAGTGACAATGCATTTTAAGGAACATTCATAAAGATATGAGGTGATGACGTTTTTCAGAGGATCAATGTGATTACTGCTGCTGGGGCACTGAATATGGGGAAGGATTCAGAGGAATGTAGGAAAAAAGTAAAGGGCAAACACAGACACACTCAGCCACGGTAAGCAAATGTCCTAGCAAGGGCAGCAAGTGTCCTAGCAAGGGCAGCCAGAGTCCTAGCAAGGGCAGCCAGAAACTCCTACCGAGAAGTGGAAAGTGAGGGGACCAGAGACCATGTGAAGATGATGATGATGTGTGTGATGGGGACCAGTGACCCTGTGGCGATGCTGATGACCATCTTTGTGAGAGTACCAGTGACAGATGTGATGATGATGATCTAGGGATGGGGACCCCGCCATGTGAAGACTGCTGATGTATCTGACAGCAGTGATGACGGTGAAGATGCTGCTGCTGATCGAGGTGAGGGGACCCGTGACAATGGAAGGGGATCTGGGTCCATGTGGGGGCACCAGGGACGACAGGAAGGTGATGCTGATGTATAGACAGCAGTGATGACGGTGAAGATGCTGCTGCTGATCGAGGTGAGGGGACCTGTGACAATGGAAGGGGGTCTGGGTCCATGTGGGGGCACCAGTGACGACAGGAAGGTGATGCTGATGTATAGACAGCAGTGATGACGGTGAAGAGGATGGTGAGGGTCTACAGGGTGGCACATCTGGCTGGAAATGGAACATGCCATGGYGGACAGCTGCAGATTGAGGATTCTCTGTCAAGTGTGCGACCTGCAGTTCCTCACCTGAGCAGTGTGGAAGGCTGCCGCTCCAGTGACTGTCTTCTTGGCAAACTCTGGTGCTGTTGCCTGTGAGACTCTGGCCCCCTTTGCAGGAGTACTGGACGGTGGCCCCGTAGGTAAACAGCTCTCCAGTTAGGACAGCATCGGCAGGGACCCCAGGGTGCCCACAAGATATGGCTAAGAAAAGATTGACATAAAGAGGACATCATTTCAGTGAAACTGCTTTGCACTTATTAAATCTCCATTACAGACAGCCATGCAGACATCACCTGCTTCAACCAAACCCCTAGTTATGTCTCAATGTCCCTGCTGTGTCCCACRGGTGGGCAAAGCCAATTTCTGCAGGGCACCCACTCCCAACAYTTAGTACTAAAGAAAAGGCGAGCTTCTGTCAAGGTCTTGGTTTGTGTGTGTGTGTGTGTTGAGGCAGCTTTCCTAGGGTTGGAATCTGCATGTGGTCTTCAAGGACAAAACTCCGCAGCCTGGTTTCCCCATCCACCCTTGTAGCCCACATGGGAAATATGGGAACCATGGGATTTCTGCAGAGCTGGCAAGGACCATCAAACCACTTCACCATGTTTTCACCTAACACGACAATCAAACACTTCGCTTGGGGACAACATTCTGTCAAACTGATTTGACCTTTAAGTTTCTCTAAGAAAACCATCTAGGACTTCTAAAATGTGGCAATCTAAAATGTGTAAGTAGAAACACTATTAAATGTTCGATGAACTGATTATAAAACAACCCAGTATTTCACATTTCCTTAAAATCATAAGCCTGGTCTATAATCTATTCTTAAATATGCCTCAAAAAGGAAAATTCTAGAACCCTGATTACTATAGGACAGTGAAGATTTATSTCTCCCTTTCCCATAAGCTACCAAATTAAAGATAAAAAATAACACACTTTTATGTTACAAGCAAAGAAGTAACTGGATTAAGGCCACCAAGGCTACCTGGCTGGATCTAGGCCACTGACTTAATATCCTGGCAACTCCATTTGGTCACTAGCAAGCTCCAAGTGGAGGCCGAGGGGCAGGTTCCACCAGAGAGGCAGGTTCAGAGGGCTGGAAGGCCACCTGGTCACGTCAGCCCTCACCCTCTCTCTGGCATTGACATTCATTCCCTGAAGAATCCCATTTTACCTGCAGAGTTCTAAAAAGAAGCCACTTAGACCCCAAACACTGAAACCCTGCATAATGGCCAAGTCCAGACGAGTTGGGGGAGAAGGAGGGCTGTGAGTGACACAGAGCAGCCAGGCTGGTGAYGCTCTCAGTGGCTCTGCAGCCACCACAGCAAGTGACCCAGAGACCCCATCCCCTTGTCAAGGAGAGCCAGGAGGAGGACAGCACCTGGGAACAGTCCATCACACCAGGCCCCAGGCCTGGGCACTTTCACSTGAGGGCCAGGCCTCCGGGAGACGCAGCCCCAGGGAGATGTCAATGTCGGGAAAGAAGTCTCCCCGAAAAGTCTCCCTGAGGGAAAGCTCTCCAGCACCCTTCTGTCCCCAGGATGAACCTGGCAGTGCTGCCGCTCAGGGGGTGAGATGGCACCKGTGAGGTGCAGAGCTCAGCTCACAGAGTCCTGGCCGCTCCCTGCTGCTTTCACGCCCTGGAAATGCATTCTAGGGACCAGAAGAACAGTCTCCATTTAAAGACTACCTTGTTTAGTCCTGATTTTAAAAGGCCAAAGGGAGTAACTTCATTTCCTAAAGTCGCTGACTATGTTCTTTCAAAAAATGATTCTCTTTGAAGCTAAAGTGAAAAGAAAACAAGTGAAAGAAAATAAGACTGCAGCTACTTGGTTAAAGTGATACCAACTGGCTAACGTGCATCTCTGAGACACTGGTAGTCAAGTCTCCAGGGGCCGTGCTGGTCACGGATCATCTAGTCCTTCCAGAAGAGCCTTCTCTTCTCCCCAGCAAAGCCCCATCCCCTGGTCCACGGGGTGGGCTCTGTCGGATGCTCTCTTAGGTGCGGTTACTGTTGACCTCACCACGCCCCTGAGAGCAGGCTGGGGGGCTCGGGAAGCCCGCTCCCTGCCGCAGAAGACAGGCAGGCAGCTCGCTCCTCCCCAGCGCCCCTGGCCACCGTCTCTGAACCTGGAGCAGGGGCCTGGGGCTAGGCAGGGCCAAGTGAGGAGCCTGTGGGGTGTGTGGCGTCCCACATGGAGCAGGCAGAGGTGTGACTGGCCCAAGGGACAACCAGGACCCGGGCCCTCTTCTCTCTGGGACCCACGTGTGTCTCCTTTCATCCCATCTCTCACTAGTGCGGGTGGATCTGGGGGGACTTGGCCCATCTGTCTAAGCTATCATACAACCTGACAGAAATGGGGGGGCGGGAGGGGCAGAGTTAAAACCCAGTGCTTTTCTAATGAATTAACATGAACTTGTGTTGCTGGTGGCCCTTCAGGACTCAGGAGCGAGACTCTGAGTTGGCCTCACTCACCCAAACACTTGGGCAGAGAGCGATCCCACAAGCCGTTGGCCATGCAGGTCAAGGCCGAAGATCCCAGCATGTAGAAGCCCTTCTTGCAATGGTACAGGACGCTCTCTCCGTACTCAAAGCTCTCTGGGAAGCTCTGCTGCCCCTGGCGAACAGCGTTCTCCACGAAGCCTGGGTCCGAACAGTTCACCACTAGAAWGAGAAACACACCAAACGTCTCTTGGAAACAGCTATGCATTACGAAAAGTAAACACCAAAACCCACAACAGATCATAAACAAAGGGAATTTCTCATTGTTTCAGAAAGTTCACCCAAGGAGAACATCACCTCTGGGTGAATTCCACCTGTGCCTGGGGCTATTCTGCTCCCCAAACTGCCAAGCATCCAATCAAGTGGAACAGCCATTGTAACAACATGGAGCTAATTTCCTTGAACTGTTTCCTAACGAGATGCTTCTTTAATGGACATTGTAAATGAGCTGCTTGGTTGAGTTTTCATGTGCTAAACGTGGTAACTAGAACCAGCTGATGTTGGCTTAGGTAGTTTAAATATTTCCAGTCAAGCACWGCTCTTCTGGCAGTGACCAACTGGTCATCCACGCCCACCTACACCATCCCACATGCTGCTAGGGAGTTAGCTACAGGTGGAASAAGGCCAGGGGAGGCTGCAATTCCTCCGTCCACACTTCCCGCAGCGTCTGCTGAGGGCCCTCCCTCCYGCAGAACACCTGGTCTGGCTGAGGTCTGCAGGGCCGGACCTGGAGGGGCTGGACAGCAGCCTGTGGCCCTGACTGCCTGAGCACCTGTGAGGGATGGGCACTGTGCTTTCCCAGGTCCCAGGGAGGCACAGAGCCCCCCCTGACATCCTGTTCCCACCACCAGGCCAGGGCAAGGGACAGCTGCACTCAACAGAGAGTCCTGGCTCGGGAAGGAGTTGTGTGCAGGACTCCCAGGCGGACACTGGGTCCAGTCCCCCTCCCAGAGCTAGCACAGCCCCCACGGATGGGCACTTGACTGCCTCTGCGATGAGGAGGAGGTGGGCAGTGCCGGATTCACAAAGCTCCCGTTAGTGCCATAGAATAAAGCATGTGTTTCCTGCAGTCCTTGAAAGGGTAAAGTTTCTAAGCTGCAAAGCCTGAGTTAAAATGTAAAGGACCAGGCATTGAAAACCTGCTTCTAAACTGCAGAGCMTGGGTTAAATTCCTGAGGCAGTTAAGACAAGGCCCTACTGGCCATTTAGTTGATTTATAGCCTAGGACCCTGTGTAGCTTGTCACATAGGCATTCAAGACCCTGTGCAGCTTGTCACGTAGGCATACAGGGCCCAAACCAATCAGTTTAAATGTAACGCCCTCCTTAGGAATGACCTATCACTCCAGCCAGCCCTGTTCCCGCCAATGAATGTACTCATCAAGTCTAGGAGTTATTGTTTGATTTTCCCGCGGTGTAAGGTGATTTGTTAAAGGAGACTGTGATGTATGCAAAACCCCCGCCCTCCCCCAAAAGTGTACTTAAGCATTGTTCAACCCCTGCTCTGGGCTCTGGGCTGCTCCCCCTTCTTGAGTGCGCACAGAGCCCCAGCATGCTGGAATCTCAATAAATCCCCTTCTGCTAATTGCATGAGTGGTCTCTTGGTGGTCTCTTCCTCCGACRTTTCGCCGGTCCCTTACATCCTGAGTTTACAGAAGACAGTCTTGAGTTTTGGGGGCACAGGGGACACTTTAAGGTCTCATGGTGCATCACAGCTACAACGAATGGACACCTAACCTCTAAAGCAGCAGGCAGCACCTAAGCAGAGACCACCTACTGAACCTGAAGGCCTGGAACACAGCAGCCTCCCCCATCCCAGCACTGGGTGCTGCTGGCCCAGGAGACAGTGCCCAGAAGAGATGGGGTGCACTGCTCCTGCCCAGCAGCCCAGGTGCCCGTGATGGTCTCTGGTGCTACCCTCAGGAGACTGGCCAAGCCACATCACAGCGTGTGCAGAGAAGGGAGAAAGCTGAGGGCATGTGGTGGACACCTGAGCAGGGCCCCCCAAGGTGCTCAAGGCCCCTCCCTGCATCCAACCCTAAGGCTGAAGCCCACCCCCTGCTGCATGGGGTTGGGGGCTTCAGCCTCAGGGTACCCGACGGCGAGGCAACGAGGGGAATGAGCCAAGCCACTGCGATCCTGAGTGGTCAGCGGCTGAAGAGAGATCAAAGAGGAGTCCAGCAGAGAAGCAGGACTGCTACAGTGACCGTGAGATCTGACCGCGACCTCTCCTGCAGGCCCAGGAGGGGTTGCTCTGAGCCCCCGAGTGCCTGGAACAGGGGGATTCAGAGTGTGATCCCGTAAGCAGGCTCTGAAGAGCAGACCAAGAGCTCTGCAGGCCCCCTGCCAGGACAGAGTGTGCGGGGGGCGTAACACCCTCGTGGGTGGACACCATCCTGGACATCAGCCTGCACTGGAATTGCCGGGAAGGTGCACTAAAGTGCTGAGCCAGGATCCTCTACCTCCTTTTACCGGGCTCAGAACCCTCGCCATGTTGAGCAATAAAGACAGCCTGGGAGATTCCGGAGCTCGAGCTGGAGAAGGGAAGGCCCTGGACCAGGAGGCGACCGTGAGCAGATGCCCCAGGACTGCCCTTGCCTTTCTCAGTCCTGCATGAACTACACTCGGGAGCATCTATTTACATCCCTCCCCATTAACTTCCAAGGCTCCACTCGGAGATCCAGCTGTGTCTAGCTGAGGCAGGAGCAGAGAATAATTGGGCTATGTGTCCAGGACACAGCACTTTGAAGCACTCCACGTCACCRCTGCTAATGGTTGTGCTTTGCCATGCGCAGAGCGGGTCCCCTGCCAGGGTGGCTCTTCAGTGCCCATCACCCACGACAGGAGCGTCTTCTCCGTCCACATCCCTCCCCCACTTTGTGGGTGAGGCCTAGCAGGGCTCCCCTGGGAAGGCTCGCATGACTGGCAGGAGTTGTGGGTGGAGGAGCACGACGAGAAGTCACGGCCTTAAGCCGTCATGGAGCACGGGAAATGTCCCAGGTCCCACAAGGACGACAATGGTGAGCGGAGTGCAGCAGGCCCAGCCCCGGGAACTGCCCCACAGCTCTGCCTGTGGCACGGTGGCACCAGGAGGCCACACCTCATCTGACACCTCCCCTCAGGTACTTGGACTTCACCTGCTTTCCAGGTGTGAAAACCTGCCCCAGGACTGGACGTCCCCGCAGAGAGGAACGAGTGCTGGTGCTTCCCACGCTCTGTCCTGCCCCATTGTGGAGAGAGTCACAGGGACACACCAAGCAAGCTCCTGGAGACCTCGGGCACGCGGGGCACGAGGGAGAAGTCGCAGGACAGGATTAGACCAGGCCACAAGGCCACTGCCGGGAAGTCAGGGGCTACGGGACTCTTGAACACTCGTCTGGCACAGCCTTCTCACAAACCCCTCGTCCTCCCAGGCAATCCCTGGGTCCCCTCCTGTGTTTTGCAGAGAATGGCTGGAATTCTCCTGGGCCATGCCTTCTGCCTCCCCCTCATCGMGTCTGCTGGGACTTTAAAATGTCCAGTCAACACATCAACGCAGGTAGGGACAGCGGCACCCAGGAGTCGCACTAGAAGCCCATCCTACAGACACCAGGAGGACTGAAGTCCTGGCCACCATCATGGCCCGCTGCCCTGATACACAGGTGCAGATGCTGGTGGATGGGGAGCCCGAGGCCCTGTGCAGAGACCCGATTCTGATCACCTGGCTGCGCCGTCCGGCTCCGGCTCACCCCTTCCCTTCACATGTCTCATTCAGCAAGACACCCAGGCCCTGACTGCTGCTCCCGGGACAAGGGCCACCCCACACGTGCCCTTCTGGCCTCCCGTCCACCCCCCATCTCTGTCCAGGCAATGGAAGCAGTGTCAGCACCCCACCTTCCTCTTTTTGTTCAGAACCCAAAGTGATGGCCATGTTCTCACGAGGATCTCCCTGAGGACGGGATGGAGGTGAATTTCAGCCTCGGGTTCCTTCCCCTCCACCCCAGAGATGCAGTTTGCACACCCGTCTGTCCTCGGTGCCAGCCGCAGGCTGAAGGGCAGCCACAGTGTGTGCASTGGATTCTGTCTCAGATTCCCCATTTTAAACMAGATTTTGGATATGCAAGTTATCCAGTTCAGAGACCATCTGCAGACGCTGGGTTCTGGGGCAAGGCAGCCCCCAGACCAGTCCCGCGGATTCCTGCCACTGCAGCCTGTCCTCCCTCTGGAACCAGAGAGGGCTTCAGCTGCTCACCACTGCGCAGYGCAATCCAAGTTCCATTTGTCGTTCTCAGAAAAAAAGGAATTTTATAGTAAATTCTTACATTCAACAATATATTTCCCTTGTGCATTTTTAAAYTTTATTAATTCATTAAATATATATTAATTTATGGTAAATTAAAAAGTTGATAAGGTTTTACTTTCAGGGCCTCTGAGACGGTCAGAGCAGAACCTTGTAATTAACTTGCATATCCAAAATCTGGTTAAAAATGCGGAATCCGAGACAGAATCCAAAGAACCTCCTCATCCTTGGCACAGATCCTATTTCCGACAGGCAGGAGGTCTGAAAACGCGCCAGGAGGCGTGATACCCTCTCCCCCCCTCTCCTCACAGCTGGTGCTTGTGCAAGATGTGCCCTTGGGCCAAACTGGCTTCTGTGTTTGTTTTTAAAAACAAACCATGAGGATAGTTTATCATTTTTTAATTTCAATATAATTCTTACACAAAAAAGGAAAAGTACATTGAAACTGTCAAGTTAAACTTTAAAAACTAAATGCTAGGGGCTACGCTTTTGTTGAAATTAAAAACCAAAAACTAACATTCAGGAAAATTGGCAAAAATGCACTGGGTTAATATGATCTGATAATTCCTATTTTTGGAACAAATACTGTATCATCATTCACCTTCCCCCTGATTCTGCTTCCCAGTGTTTCAGTCTCCCAGGGTCAACTGTGTTCTGGAATTATTAATCAGAAAACTTTACAAGTGGAAAATTCATATGTTTTAAATCATGTGCTGTTCTGAGTAGCCATCCTTCTCATCCTGCCTGGGGTGTGGTCATCCCTTGGTCCAGCGTACCTACTCTGTACCTACTACCCACCTGCTACTCACTTAGTAACCATCTCAACTCTTAAGCAAGTGTGGAGGCACTGACGTGCTGTGTTCACATAACCCTCACATGSTAGCC